AATTTCAAAATTTATCCCTGTCATGTGATTCTTATATAACAATCATGGCACATGTACCTACATAATGTGAAAAATATTTCACTCAATAATATTAAAATTTGCAAACTAAACCTTGATTAGCCAATAACAATAAAATCATAACTTCAATATTTAACCTGTCACATCATAATTATGCACATCTTCACTATCTGTCCTCTTAGCTTGCTGTGGACTACAGCTCTTTGTTACTTAAATATCTGATAAAAATGTGAACATTGATCATTGGAGAACAGGCATGGAGACTGCATCAGTTTAGATGTGTTTGTCAAAAATAAAAAGGTGTTGAATTTGCTATGACTACAGCTACATCTTTACATACAAGCTGCATCATCATGTTCGTATCAAATTTTTTATTAAACACACACTCACTCCCATATATGTACATACAGGAAGAGGATGAGACCTTGTTCAATATAGAGTTGCACGAAGATGCTCCCTAATCTTAGGCAAATAGCCTTAGTATGCTTTGCCATAACCCAAATAAATCATTGTTCATCATGGATCTTTCGAAAATTAATTCAACTACTTACCACCTTACCACTAAGAAAAGTAAATTATGAGTAATTTAGAGTAAATTACTATTATTTTATTGTTTAATTTGGAACTTGTACTTAAAATAAGCCATGGGTCTTCTTTCCTCTTACTTTTGTAACAAATCAGTTTAACTTTTAAAAATCCATGAGAAATAGTTTTGCACACTTTGATATTATTTTATTACCTAGAAGAGAACTTGTACACTTTTCAACTACATGTACTTTTATTTTTTCTTCAAATGATCACTGAAAATGCACAAATTTTTGTTAATTTAGTGAAGATGAAATAAAACATCTCGTAATTTTTTCTTGTTGCAAATAATTCACTAACCATATACTTTATATATAATGATGCTTGTTTAAATTTTTTATTAACTTTTTTGTTAAAAGTTTTGTTGTTACTGCAACTTGATTTTCTTACTATAAATTTCGATATGCAAAAAGCCTATCTGTATTGAATTCGTTGAAATCACAAGATAATCTTTGTTAGAATACATTAAATATATATATATATATATATATAGTATATATATATATATATAGTATATATATAACTATATTCTATAATTTAAATACATTTTTTCAAATTTTGCAAATACAACTTATGATATTAATTATTTATATAGTTTTTCATAAATTATTTTACTCAAGTAAAATCGGAATAATTTTTTTTATTCCAAGCATGTATTTTTTGGTTTGTGAAAATATCTTGACTTCTTATTTTAATTTTCTAAAATTTAACTCTTTACAGCAAATTGATAAAAATAAATTTCAAAGTCGAATGAAATTATGGAGTACAGTATTAAAGGTTTTATTGTAACTATAAAAAAATAGGCTTATTTAAAAAATATTTTTAATATGACTGTTAAATGCATAGAATTTCAATTACTTAATTTCAATGTCTGTTTCTCTATAGATATGAAGACAACGAAGATGACTGAGAATCAAACACTTTTTTAAAGTTCAGATATATTTTCGGAAAAAAATTTACTGATGAATACTTTTATTTTTTTCACTCTGAAATAGTGAAAAGGCATCTAGTCATTGTTGTATAATCTATCTGTTGCATATTTAATTTTAGTAAATATGAAATATTTTAAGGAATGAAAGTAGGCTCGCATATGCTTAATTTAATTTAACTATGCCTTTTCCCTATAGTATATAATTTGACTTTAATAAATGTGTAACTACAATGATCATATTGATAAAATACTCATAAAATTTGTCTTGTCCAGTACTTTTTAAATTTAACCTTGAAACGGACACGATACCTAAAATGAAATTAAAAAAATAATCAATACTGAACAGTACTACAAATCGCTTCTTAAACCTTTCCAGCATGCTACCTTTTAAAGTTGGAATAAAGATAAGCAGTCTAATCAGGCCTAGAGGATTAGACAGGTAAAATTTTGTACAGATAGCACTTACCGTTTGAATTTTGTGGGTGTGCCTGGGCCGGGCTTACAAAATGAATGGAGCTTTGAAAAAAGAGCGCTGAAGCAAACATTCCTGGAAAATGCATAATGGAGTAAAAGTTTTTTTCCTATGATTAAAAAACACTAGACTCTGATTACCATAGCAAATTTAACATTATCCAGGTTGCACCAAGAGGAGGCATGCTTCTCTACTCCCCCCTGCCCCCCCCAAAAAAAAACAAGTATCTCTCTGCTCTCCGTAGCGGAATCACTATCTGAAGGCAATTTGTTTAGCACTTTTAGGGCTTCAGAAATGCTCAGCTTTCTCTGATCCATTTGCAGATTAATTAAAAATCAAAAAATAAACTAATATTATAACTACAGTTAAGACAATATTATACAATTAAATAAACATCTACAACTCAAAACTATTAAAATGTAGAGCTAACAAAACTTCTTTCAATGAAAGTGGGAGGAAAAAAAAAAAGACACGACTTTCAGAAAAACATTCCCAACAAATCCTCAGTTGATAACTAAATCTCCCTTTCCTCCCCCAAAAAAGGAAATGACACATAGCTGTGCACCCACCTTTTTGTTGTGAATGGGCTCACCGAAGAAAATTCTGTTGTGAAACAGCAGTACGGTTATTGGTCTGGTGTTTCAGTGATCCCACTCTGGGCACATCAGATGTTTATTATTCAATTTTAGACAAGATTTCAAGGTAAAAATTTAAAACTAATATAGAATAAAGAGATCAGCACACAGCCAAGATAATAGCATAGAAATTTCTCTTCAAACAATTCCTTTTATATCCTAAAAAAATCTGGAAGATGTCTTTAAAAACTAAACACGGCTGAAATGTATAGAGAGGTTTGTGTTATGCTACTATTTAGTATTAATAAAGAAGGTTAAAAGTAACCTATAAAGCCTTTTCCATTCAACTTTTCTGTGTGTACAGAAGGAAATTTTGGGCACACTGTATCGAAAAGAGTTAATGCTAGCAGCTTAATATACACAGTTAATTATAGTAATGCCCCTATATCCTTCGGTAATTTGATTCAAGGCATATAACAGATAACAGTTGACACTATGTAAAACTAGATATTTATGCAACATACATAAATTGGGCAAAATTTAATCAATAAATTTGGCAAAGTAAGACATTGCAAATATTAAACTATACCCTACACTATATTATCTTTGGTATTGTATTGTTAATAAAGTACTGCAAAATTCATTCTATATCATACTCTTTCTCCTTGTTTGCTTGTATTAAATAAAGAAGTCTGAAATTAAAACCTACAGTTCCTGTATTATATAATATTATGAATTGTTTCAAGAAATGGTAGGAATAAAAGTTTTTTTCCATCAAAGTAATAAAAAAAATATTCATGGTTGCAAAAATGAAGATCATGAATACATACCTGTACTTAACATACAATAAGAAAATTTCACTTTGGAAAAGAATATTAACTTATTCTGTGATTCAGCAACTTCTATGGTTATGTGATGGTATCTCAATATGTATGGTGAGGAGAAGAAGTAAGATAATGGTATAAACATGGTGATGATGGTGTACTTGTATTAAATTAAGGAAATGGGATTAGATTCATTATCTTTAGAAGATGAAAAAAGACAAAAATTTAAGGCTTTTTCCACTTTCCTTACCTTTTTATGTTCCTTATGGTATGTAACTTTTGCAATTTTTGGAGCAAAAGAAACTAGCATGAAATTTTCCCTTGTTTTTCAATATTCTATTACTGAATATTTATTCTTACTATAGAATTTGGCAACTATTTTTACATTCTCACTAATAAGACACTGGATAAAGTATATTATGATATCTCTTAAACTTGGAGGCAGTGGTAATATCACTACTCATATTCTCTGAAGTAAGAAATTTCTGAATATGAAAGCTGTAATAAATTGACATTAATGCAGATAAAGAGATTTCTAAAAGCAGAGGGAAATTAAATATAAAAATTATAAGTGCAGCAGATGTAGAGTTAAAAAGTTTGAGCACTAAGAGCTATAGTCCCCTGTGGACATTTTAAAGGAATATTTGTACTGGTACTTAAGTGAGCTACTGCAGATAGTTCCATGAGTCAACAAACTGTTATATGATATTTTTCAGTTGGCTCTGCTGCCAACTTTTTTTGACATCATGCAGCAGCAATGGCTTTGCCAGATGTCTCAGTTAGCTCAGATAAACTTTAGTGAACTACAAAAAGCATAATTCTGAGAAGCAACCTGTAACCAGAAAGTATGTGTACGGTTTCAAAGTTAACCATTTTCATCCCCTCCCATTTAACTACATCCATCAGGAAAATGTATGCATGCACATATTGTTTGCAACTACTGTGGAAATTTAGTACTTTGCTTGTTTTAGTGGCTGATAAATATTTTAGTTTACTCACATTTGGCCATAGGCTATTTGTCATTTGGCATGTATTTTGAAACTATAAAAAACTTTTTCCCTGCATTGTGAACCATGCATATGAAAGCACGACCATATATTGAGATAGGTTATAGTACTAAAATAATTAATCAATATTTAATCAATTTTCTGCTTCATCTTGAAATGAGGGGAAAATTGTCTTTTTTCCTAGAAGAATAATTATTATGTTCCTTTTTTGTTTATAAATTTATTTTTGAAACTTGATAAATTATTCTACCATGTGAGGAATTTTTCAAGTCGCCTGAATATTGTTCTTTGAAATTTAGGTGCAAGATTCAAAATCATAAATAACACAATAAAAATTTTGGTGCCTTTGAAGTGATCAGGTTTTCCTGACCTAAAAACAGTAAAATCTAAAGAGATTGATATATTCTGAAGTAATATGTTAACCATAACACCATGTTTTGACAATCTTCCAATACAGATAAAGCACACACTTTACTAATTAGATGAGAGTTAATAATAAAAATTAAACATCTAAATTAATATAATGTAAGCTCATGGCTTATACCATAAAGTGTATCATTAACTGAAGAAAACAATGGGAATTAGTGAATTAACACTTGAGAAGAGAAATTTTTATTTTTAAATATGTGTCACAAATACTGTAAAACACATATATGAAAAATAATTTATTTACAGCACAATTTGAACTGTGATAAATTAAAAAAAAATATATATACATAACATATTGATGATGATGGTAATCACAATGAAAATGACTTAATTATAAATCAAATGATTGCATACTGTTCATACAACAGTTCTCTAACTTTGAAATAATCTTCTGTCAGGCAGCCTTCAAAGTGTATATGACCAGATTCATTCTGAAAGGGAAAAATTTATTTAAATATCAGTATGGGTAATTTTGATTAATAATAATACATAAATATAATTATTGGGTTAATTTTTGAATTATGGTAACTTGGCGATTTTTTTGGCGAAAATTTGGCGACCAACTCTGCTACAGCAACCTGCTAGTTTTGTTTTGGACGCCATTTTGTTTTCACGAAGTAAAGGCTTTTTTTTTTTACTCAACATTTTTTTCCAACAATCTGCTAGCCGAATTACGCTTATGCTAGAACTTTTTATGGAACAAAAGTACTTAATCGTGACCAAGATTAGATGCGAAATTGGGAAACAGTGCAGAATCGCCCACTGCTTGCCGCGTTTTTAAGAATTGCACATACACGGTATCCACGTACACGTCGACCAATTTTCACTTAAAAAAACATCCTAGAATTGCACAAAAATAGCATTGCGCACACTCTTGACTTTATCCATGTACACTGCTAAAGTCCTAGCTAGTAACCTTTATCGCCTTACCAAAATGTCGCCAAACTACCTGTTACCATATTCCAAAGATTAGCCAATTATTGATATATCACAGTAAAATTGTAAATTCGCATTTTCTATACAGCTTGCTCTTTTGGAGTTAAAGAGGTAATACTTATAGATGACAAAGTACATAAGAATAAGTTAAAAATGCAACTATTTAGTTAAAAGGGAGGGGGCAGAAGATATCCAGTTAGTGAAAACCACTTTGAAACAAAACTGAGAAGGGCAGCAACTTAGGCATAGCAATATACAAAATTAACAACAAATACAGAAACAAAAGGTAAATTTCCTTGACTAATAAATGAAATAGTAGTTGCAAATTAAGGATCTGGCATAGTTTGCTTTTACATTACTTTATATTTTCATCAAAAATAGAAAAGGGGAAGTGATGTATTTCAATACTGCATACTAAAGCTGAAATTTCTTTTCCACTACACAAAACAAATGAAGATTTTTTTTTTTTAATTTGTAACTACATAAACAAGACTTAAAAATTTGAAAATTTACAGGAAACATTTTAACTACAAGAAAATAAACCTATTTTAAAATTCGCTAACAGTAAAACACTTCAGATAAATTCTATATTACCAGTGTATAATGCTTTAAGTGAAAACTTTTACATCCAGAAAACAGAAATTTTCCTAGAAATCCTTATTTGTAGCATTGCCAATAATCAATGGCTCAAGCTGTGATCAACTGCTTCCCCTGATTATGTCTAACGGCACAGGTTAAAATGAGAAGCAAAATCATAATCAGAATGATTCATAACAGAAGCTGTTGCCGCCGCTGGTGCTTGACTAAAGGAGAGACCTGCTGATCAGAACAAATCTAAAAGGCTTTATGTAGGTATGGTTGGCAAGTTTTTAATGTTAGTTGGGATCTGTCTGATGCAGTTAGTGTCATAGTTTCATGTAGAGTTCCAGAGGTTGTAACCCAGTTAATATACTTTAAGGTTCCAATAAGCCACTAAAGTACCAGATATGATAAGTTGTTTTGCATTATTTAGATGCAAAGAACAAATTTTACATACATTTTTGTGTTTTATCTTGTGACCACAGTAAAGATTAATGAAAGGCAATAAACTCTCTTTAATATGCAGAGATAATTTTTAAGGGTAAGCAGACAAGTTTTATATAAATTTTTACATTTTTGTGTTTTATCTTGTGTCCAAAGTAAGGATTAATGAAAGGCAATAACACGCTTTAATGTGCAGAGATAATTTTTAATGGTAAGTAGACAGTTATAAATAATTAAATTTGGTAGTTAGATAACCTTAGTCATTATGGATTTACATGGCCACTCTTAAATTTTTAATTATATTTTAACAGTATTTGAAGGAAAAAAAAAAAAGGCCCTATTCAAATCATAATTTTGTAAAATTTCACAGATTAAAATACAGTACAAAGTCTGAAATCCAGACTCGTCGGGACTTCCGGATTTGGGATTTTTCTGGATTATGGATCATTAATTTAAATCTGGTAAGATGGCATGCAGAAATTATACAATTAAAAATATGAAACCGTAATTTATGAAATAAATAGCAATTATGATCTAAAGGGTATCACATTTTAGAAAAAAAAGCTTATTATTTATATGTTTACTTTATTAAACATTTCTTTCAATATAAGTTGTTTAAGTTGTCTCATTTTTTGTGCGAATACTTTACAGTTACAAAGTTCCACTGTTCAAGTCCTGTAATTGCTGTGTCAAGAATACCGACTAACTTTTTTCATTTTCAATAACCTCTCTGTCACTATCGGTAGCTGTATTTTCTGTATCTAGAACCATACTACAGATTTTGCCGTCCGTTAATTGATTGATGATTGGGGCATTGCAATGAAAAATTTCTGTTTTATCATCTTCATTTATTACCGCTTCTCCACATTTCTTTACAAAATCCATTAACTGGAAAATTTCACTTTTAGTTTTCGATATTCGAAAACCCTCAAATTTGCGACTTTCATCTTCATTGTCATCACCATGAATTATGGTAGCTGGCCATAAATTATGCAAAGCATTTTTAACGTATCTGGAGACACATTCTTCCACAATCTTGCGATGCTTCACACAGCAGATTTTATGCTAAAATATTTTTTTAATTCTTGTATAGTCTTGCCATTGTTCAAGAAATTTAACATGGATTTTAAAAATGCTACTTTATATTTGCATTTCAACGTGCGCACTATTCCGATATCAATAGGCTGAATGACAGATGTACAATTTGGAAAAAAGAATAATACGGATACATTATCTTTCACTATAACTTTAAATGAAGTATGAGCTGAACAGTTGTCTACAATCAGGGCTATTTTTGAGTCATCAGGTAAACCAACTGAATTCAAAGTTGCCGATCCTTGGGTATAAAATGATTTTCAAACCAATCATTCACTACAGGATATATAAAGGAAGTCATTACTCCTTTAAATGCTCGAGGTCGTGCATGCTTTCCGATTATGAAAAGTTTTCATTATACACTGCTCGACATTGAAAATGCAACACCAAGACGGAGTGGTCAGAAAGTCATGAAATTTGGAAAAAAGAGACAGCAAGCAGCAATAATTGATTTTATTTCAAAATGATAGTCAGAATACAGAGCGAGAACAGCGTCGGCTCAGTAGGATGTAGGACCGCCACGGACAGCGATGCACGAAGAAGCACGTCTAGGCATAGAATCAATAAGAGTGTGGATGGTGCCTAAGGGATGGCTCTCCATTCCCTTTCAACCATTTGCCACAGTCAGTCGACAAACGGCGTCCAATCACATCCCACACATGTTCGATTCGCGACAGGTCAGGAGAGTATGGTGGCCAAGGAAGTATCTGTATACCTTGCAGAGCATGTTGGCAGATGCGAGCACTGTGTGGTGGGACATTATCCTGCTGAAAAATTGCATTAGGCAGCCCCTGAAGGTAGGGGATTGCCACCAGCCTCAGTACATTATCCAAGTATCGTTGGACCGTCATAGTGCCCTGAATACGAACTGGAGGTGACCTGGAATCATAGGCAATAGCGCCCCAAACTATTATGCCACGTTGTTGCGTAGTGGGGCATTCCACAGTTACTGCCAGATTAGATATGTCTCCACGTCGACGCCACACACGTATGCGCCGATTGTCACCACTGGATAAACAGAAGCGTGACTCATCTGAGAACACAATGTTTTGCCATTCTGTCATCCACATCGCTCCAGTCCTGCACCATTCTAAACGTTGGCATCTATGCTGTGGGGTCAATGGCAGTCTTCTTAACGGACGCCGTGAGTGCAGGCCACATTCAACCAATCAACATGAAATGTTTCTGTTTGACATGGGAACATCCAGGGTATCTTGCACATGCTGCAGAATCGTGGTACAAGTGACTTGCGGACCGCCACAGCTTGTCGGCGGATGAGTCGATCCACGCGTGCTGACATCATTCTGGCTGCACCTGCACCCCTCCTTCTTCCCACATTTCCTCGTTCCAACCATGTTCGCCATAGCCGATGCAACGTGCTCGCATCCATGTGGGTATCAGCTGCGATTTGACATAAGGACGAACCCGCCCTTCTCAGACCAATCACCAAACCTATCATAAAATCATCTATCTGCTGGAAGTGCCTTCGTTGACGGCTGCCTGGTATTCTCTCCTATTACTCATATCCTCCGGAACGAAAACAATTTTCTTCGATAATTCTCTGGCAGAAATAACGACACGAATATTGCCCATTCTGCATGTTCCTTCCCTTATATCTTACTTCACGTGCGTCGGAGAGCTGCGCATTTCACATCATTCGCATAACTCAGTGACGTGCGTCTACTCTAAAATTTGCATAATTTATGACCACTCCTTGGTGTTGCATTTTCAATGTCGAGCAGTGTAAAAAACTTCTCATCCCTTAATTCTGACGCTTGGTGCCTCCCCAAATTCCAAAAATTTTGTCTTTCCTAAATTCTGCCGACATGTTCTGCCGGCGCTTCTGGGTATATGGTGAATTAAAATAGTGTTAAATGTAATCTTTTGGCCTATGAGTTTTATTAACAAAATCTAGTTTTAGCATATGGAAAGAAATTTTGTTGAATTTTTCCTCGTCAACATTTCTTAGAGCATTTAAAAATCTATAATCATTGCCAAGCGTAATGTTAGCATAAAAGGTTGCCATACTCTTGTTATTCAATTACTAATATAAAAAAAAAGTTTAGTCATCATTGCATGAGTTATTACTGAAGCTATCGTGTATTGATAAACATGTGGTGATAAAAGCAAAATATAATAAATGACGACTCGCCATGTCGGTGTCAGGGATATAAAATAGGTGAATGTTTCAGTTTAAGATGTATGCCAGGCAGATACTCAGCTACGGAGCCAGATTATTAATCTCACAAATTTATGCTTACATGATTTTTTTTTCAAAACAAGGTATTTTATATAGTGCCTAAGTGAAATTAAGAATCAATTTTTAAGTGAAAATCTCCACTTGTTTTATTATGGAAGGAAAAATCAAATGCACATG